TCCCCAGGGCCCAGGTAGCACCCTCCTTCCCCAGGGCCCAGCGACAGAGGACTTTGAAGCTGTACGACTTCCAAGGTGCACCCAGGTATTAATTTTTTTCACTGTAATTTGCTTCCTACGTTCGTTGACACAACTCTGGAGTTGGTTTGGGGGCCAGAAAGTGGGAAGATGGGAATTCTCAGGGCGCCTCCAACGCTCCTGCAGGCTCCAGGCCACAGCCGCAGCCCAGCAGAGCGGGAGGCCCTTCGCGCCGGCCCAACGCCCGGCCCGGCTGCCCGGGAGCCTCCGAGTCCGCGCTCGGACAGCCCCCGGCGGCGCCTCCCCTCCTGGCCAGCCCGCTCTCCGGGCGGCCACTGGCACCGCCGGGACCCCACGGAATCCCCTCCCTAGACCCCGTCTCCACCCGCAGCCCGGCAGGTCAACTCAGCCACCTGACCTCTGACCCCTGACCCGACCCGGTCCTCCTTGTCACACCCACCTGCCCGGGACCTTGCTGTTGCTGCGCTTCCAGAACTGCTTCCTGGCCCCGTCGCTGGCCATGGTCCCTCCTCATCCCTCACGTCCGCTGCCCCGACACTCCGAGTGTGGCCGGCCTGCCTCCCGCAGCCCTTTCCCGTAACCCGGGCGGCCCCAGCGCACTCCCGGGACTCCTCAGCGTAGAGCCCAGAGGCTCTTCCGCCTCGCTCCGGAAGTTGTGGATCCGCGCGCCCGGAAGTCCCGCCTCCGTCCCGGCGGCGTGTGACGTCATTACAGCGCGACGCTGGGAGGTGAGCGCGTTCCTGGCGCGGAGGCGGAGGCGGAGGCGGAGGTGACGGTGACTTGGCTGTCTTTGTGGAGGCTCCGGCCCAGAGGCCGGAGCGCAGCATTACCACAGCCAAGTCGGCCGGGTGTCCGTCGCCGGTTCGCTTATTGAGCGCCTTCCAGAGACTGACCGTAGACCAAAGCGGCAAGGCCCGGTTCTGGACCTGGAGCCGGTTTGTCGCTTGGGAAGCAGACCCCGCAGAAGGTGTGCCCCGCACCGCTTCGCCGGACACGAGTGGGCTGCAGTGAATACTGAGGACGAGCACGTGTACCATGCGGCGGGGCGGGCGACACAACCACGAAGTGACGTGGAGCGAGTCCCAGGCCGCGGGCCAGGCGTCAGGTGAAGTTTGAGCACCGACGGAGCTTGAAGCGTTGGCCTGGCCGGCGCTCGACCACGTGGACACACGCTGCTTGGAATGTGGCCGGTGCTCTTTGGGGTGAAATGCATACGGGACTCCAGTGGCTTGGTGTAAAAATAATAACTTTTACGTTGATTGCATGTTGAATGATAATATTTGGATGTGTTGCAGGCGATAGGATGTGTTGTTAAAATCATTTTGGGTTTTTTTTTTTTTCCCTGAAGATTGTACCTAGGAACGCGCTACCACTGAGCTCGTCCTGAGATCTCTTTGTTGCCAAAAGCTTGGACATTTTCCTGGATGCCAATCCAATAAGGAGGACACAGTTTTGAGAAAAAAGAGAAACACATGAAGATTCCTGATTTCAAAGGCTATGATTCTGCCTATCTGCAGGAACCAGGGGACTTTTATAGAGGTGATTCAGAGAAAATGAGACTAGGGAGGAGAGATCAGGAAGGAGAAGATGGGGTGGGGGAAGAAGTTTAAGGAAAAGAAGATAGGGTAAAAGGAAAAAAAAAAGTGTTTCAAAGCCACACGGGATATGGTCAAAGCATCTCATCAAGTGAACGTGTTGCATCTTTATTTTTATTTTGACACAGTCTCGGTAGGATTACAGTCATGCATACTTTTTTTTTTTTTTAATGTCACTACCAGAAAAGTTGAAATTGCGTATGGCTTTGCATTATGTTTATGTGGCCTTAAACCAAAGTTGGGGGTGGGGGAGACTAGCATTGCAGGCTGAAGTTTTGCTTATTGTTTGTTTTCCCATATAGATGAGTTTTAGTACAACATTTAGGAGCTTCTGGAAACACCATCAGTTTTATTTCGAAACTAATTACATTGTATTCTTTTCAGGCCAGCTGCTTGGTAGGAAAAAAACAATACCATTGAACTACACCCTCAACTCCTGATTATATTTTCTGATTAATGAAAGCTAGAGAGGCTGAGGCAGGAGGATCTCAAGGTCAAAACCTGCCTCAGCAACTTCTGGAGGCCCTACTTAGTGAGATCCTGTCACAAAATAAAAAAAAGTAGAAAGGGCTAGGGATTTGGTACAGTGGTTAAGTGCCTCTGAGTTCAGTTTCTGGTGCCAAAAAAAAAAAATTTTTTTTCCATGCCTCTTCATATACTGATGAGTATAATCAATTTAGTACTTGTTCCATGCTAGGTGTCCCACTAAGGTACTTTATATGCATAATCTCAATCATTCCAACCATGTCCTAAGGAGTACACAGCAGCCTGAAAGGCTCTATTAACTCTCATAACACTCAACTTTTATAGTTGCTAATAGCAAATCCTTCTACAATTCTGAATGCCCTGCAACATCTACCTGACCACATTTTTATTATGTCTATGTCCACTTTTAGCTTGTAGGATATTGCCAAGTATGGCCTGTGCCTTATCCACAGCAACAGCCTCAACACCTCACACAGGAGGCCTTCCATAAATGCTTGAAAAATGGATGACAATCGCAGGAACTCAAGGTATCCCCTTTTGCCATGGTGATAGAAACTCCCAGGAATCTCCACCCAGCAATCTCAACGGATCCTTGGTGACCCCTTTCAAACAACTACTAGGTGCTCAGGGATCCTTTGTGGCATAGCTATAAGAGCTCTCCTGGGCTTAATGTCTCTACACAACCTCAAGGAATTTCCAGAGATCTGTAAAATGATGACTTCTAAAGGACCCTTCACTTACAGCCTCTGCTAGTGGAATTCAGGACAACCCCAGAGATGAACTCCAAATACCTGTTCTTTACAGCTCAGTCTGACTTATTGCAAGAATTAGTGAATGGAGTTGGGCAAAGTGATGCATGTCTGTCATTCCAGCTACTAGGGAGGCTGAGACAAGGATCGCAAGTTTGAGGCCCATCTGGGCAAATTAGCAAGACCCTGTCTCAAAAATTTTTAAGAGGGCTAGGATATAATTTAGAGGAAGAACATTCCTAGGTTCAATTCTTGGTATTGCAAAAAAGAAAAAAAAAATCAGTAAGGACAGAAATTAAAATGATGAAAGCAGAAAGGAAAGGAAAACTAAGTTTGCCCAAAAAAATTGACAGTGACTAATCAGATGCAGTCCTTCCCCATAGTTTACTGTAGGCGTCCTAACTGCTGTCTTGGAAGAAGTAGTAAAACATTGACTTGAAGGCTTCTAGACTGGCTAAGCAAAAAATTACTAGTGCCCCCAAAAAGTGTGAAGAGGGAGTGAGCCAGTTTGCAGCATAAATTTATGATTGGTTTTAGACATGCTGGATTTGGGTCATAGATATTAAATCTCAGCCATGCACTAGATTAGAGAACACAATTTGGCCAAAAATTAAGCAGGGGCTTAGAGGGGACGCCAGAGCAGAGTGAGAAGACTGGTAATCAAACAGGTCAAGGTCATCACAGTCACAAAGACAAAGCCAGGATAGTTCATTTCCAGAGATGGATCTAAGCAAAGGGGACAGATGAAATCCAAAAGCGGAGCCTGGTAGAAGGCCAGGTTTGAAAGCCAAAGTGATAACAGATGTGGAATCTGGGAATAGGACCTATGCAGATATCAAACAGGACACATCCCCAAATCCCAGAGCTACAAAATGAGCAGAACCCTTTTTATTCATTTTTCTTTTTTAAGGAACACATGGGGAAATGCTAATTGGAAGTGCATATAGGTGCACAGTGTTGGGGATGGAACCCAGGGCCTCATGCACACGAGGCAAGTGCTCTACCACTGAACTATATCCCCAGCTCTCTCTTTAAGACGAGATCTAAGAAATATCCCAGCTGATTTCAAATTTCTGGGTTCAAATGATCCTCTCAGCTCAACCTTCCAAGTAGCTAGAACTACAGGTGTGGGAAGTAATTTTTGTACAACAAACTTACTAGGCTTATAATTGCTACTATTTAAGACAAATACAAACTAATGTACCATTTCACACTTAACAAACTGGCAAAAATTTAAAATCTATCAATGTCAATGAGAACAAGCTGGGTGCAGTGGCACACGCCTGTAATCTCAGCAGCTCAGGAGACTGAGGCAGGAGGGTGGAGAATTCAAAACCAGCCTCAGCAAAAACAAAGCACTAAGCAACTCAGGGAAACCCTGTGTCTAAATAAAATACAAAATAGGGCTGGGGATGTGGCTCAGTAAGTAATTGAGAGCCCCCAAGTTCAATCCCCAGTACCCCCCCAAAAAAAAAAAATGATGATCCCATGGGTTTTGTGAAAAGAGCTTTCATGCCTTGCTAGAAGAGGTATAAATGGTTTGATATCATTGAGTGACCATTTAGAAATTTCTAGTAAAGATACCCAGCAATTCCCATTGGGTATTTGCCATGGAGCAACTTGCCAGATGTGCAGACAAGAATATTTGTTGTGCCATTGCTTTTAGTGATCGTGAGGGATTAGAGGGAAAAGCATTCAAAGTGTGATCTACAAGAGAATTGACAAATTGCCGTTATCCAATAGAATACCATATGGTGGTAAAAAGAATAAATTGATTTTGCATACATCTGTGTTAATTTCACAAACCATTGAGAAAAGTTTCTTACGAATGCATATGATATAATACCAGCTAATTCTCTTGTTAATTTTTAGTTGTCAATGGATTTTTAACGGTGCGAAGGATCAAAATCAGGGCCTCACACATGCCAGGCAAGTGCTGTACCACTGAGCCACAACTCCAGCCCCCAGTACTATTGTTTTTTTAATCTATAAATAACAAATTTTCCAAAGCATGAGAATGTTAAGAGCTAAATGCAGAAGAGTAGTTGCCTCTGGGTGTTTCGGGAATGATCAGAATGGAGCTCACAGGAGGGTTAGTTGCACCATTGTGCCTTATTTCTTAAGGCAGATAGAATGTGTTCAGGTGTGTATGGTAGTTTTATGACTTTTCTATGTATAAGATTTTCATAGCACATAAAAATGTAATTATTGAGCTCTTTGCACAGTACAAGGAGCTACTGCAAACTGCAGGAAAAGGCAAAGGCAGACAACAGTGACTGGACAGAGTCTAGACAGCTGATCGCTGTTTGCAGAAGAGAGGATGGGGTTGGCTGGGGAAGTCACCAAAGTGACTCTCACAAGTAGGAGAAGCCAGAGCCGCTGGTCAGGACTCTGAGAATTACCTGAAATTCAATGAACAGAACTACCCAGCTCATTTTCTCACCTCTGCCCGACCATCCTCCACAACTCTGCTGTGGCATTTGGATCTGATCATAATGTGACATTAGTATCCCATCTGAGACCCTCCAGGGGTTCCCATTGCCTTCTGGGGAAAGTCAAGCTCCTGGGTGGGCTGTAAGGACCTTTGTGTTCAGCATGCTTTCTTCCTTACCACTCGACTCTCTGCTGTTGCTTTCCCCACAAGCCAAAATCAGGGTGGAGAAAGGATCCCAATCCCAAAGTCCCTGTGGGCTAGGTGGCTTCTAGTCTTCCATGACCAGTGTCTTTCCTGGGTGAACAACAGTCCTGAGAAGGATCTGGGGGTCTGTGTCTTTTTCACCTGTTTATATGCTTTATTTACATGTGTCAAGCACCTTGGAGGGGCAGAAAAAAACCTCTTTCAGCAAAGCTGCATTCTGCTTTCTCTGCCCTCAGATAGGCCGTTTCAGCTCAGGGCACATCTCTGAGGGCCTTTGGAGCCGGCCAGCACCTCCCAAGGGGCACATTATCCCTGCTAGGTTTCCTGGAGCTGCAGTGCCCTTGGGAATTTATCTTGCACTTGGGGTGAACAAGTCCAGTGACACCTGCTGTGCTTCCTGTGATCATCATCCAGTCACCAGAGAGCTGGAGACAAGGGCTGCCCATGTTTATTCTCTCTCACTTTTGGGGTGAGCTCACAGGGCCGAGGCCAAGGACTGCAAGGCTGGGTCCTTCTGGAGGTTCCGACGGACAGTCTGTCTTTCTGGCTTCCTTTGCTCATGCATTTTTTTTCTCCTTCCTCTGTTCTGAGAGAATGTCCCCCATTCTCCACCATCAACACAGTATCTTCTCTCCTGACTGCTGCAGTCTGGCTGGGCACAATTCACAAGCCACTTATCAAGCAGAAACGAACTTTATTTTTAGAACACACACATACACACACACACACCCCGCATCACACAGCTCTTCAGGAATTCCCTCAGAGCCCAGCTGCCACCACCGGCTTCCCACAAGCCTCTCTACCCACCCACCCCCACTCCTCCTGCTCTTGAGGCTGATTGGCTGGGTCATGTGGGTGGAGCCAAAAAAGTCCCCCCAATGAGCAGCTCCTTGGTCTGAAAGGGTGGGGAAACAGCCCAATGAGCATCACTGCAGAGGAGCCAATCAGCTGGAAGTTTGCTAGGGCCACTTCGGCTGTGGATCTCAACACCTGACTCCTCTGGGTCTCCCTTTAAAGGACACCTTGGGGCTGCGGTTGTGGACCAGCGGTAGAGTGCTTGCCTGGCACATGTGAGGCACTGGGTTTGATCCTCAGTGCCACATAAAACTAAATTTTAAAATAAAGGTATTGTGTCCATCTACAACTAAAAAAATTTTTTTAATTAATAAAAAAGAGAGAGACCCCTGGGCCAGGACCAGACCCCTGGGACAAGCCAGGTTCCTACTTCATCACATTCACAAGCTTCCTGCTGGCCATTTAAAGCAACATTAACGGGCTCCAGGATTAGGATATGGTATCTTTGGGGGGCCACAATTCATAATAAATGGCAAAGGTCCTCATTCCTTACCTCAAGAGACAGTAGGAGACAGTCCTCAATTCCCTCTCACTGCCCCCTCCTCCAACTCCATCCAGTCACTTCTATATATATTATAGGGTTAGTTATGGGCAACATCCCACTTTCTGGCGTGAAATTCTGCACAAGGTAGGGTGTTGTTCATTGCAAGAAAGACAAAGTCCAGTTCAGAATGGCTTACACTATAAAGGGAATTTAT